TAGCCCCGACTCAGGTTTGTTACACGGACTTGTTTGGGCTACCGTGGACCCGTCGAATCACCCTTCTTAATTAACGAACGATTTTTGCGACGGAAAGGAATGAAAGGATACTGGCCGGGTATTCTCGAATCGATAAAATTCTCGTCCAAGGACCGACATCCGGACTTTTGCTTAATTTTATAGATTAACCGTTCACCGGTTCCTTTAAATGCACAACTGCTTCCTTCGGGCGACTTGGCTTGCCATCGAGGAGCAGAGGCTTCTTGCGTTCCGGAACTGTGATTAAAAACGCTGGTCTCGTTGGCTGGGAGAAACTACCGAGCCCGTTTTATTTAAATACAATGTTAATAACATTAGATTTACGGGCATTGATTGCACGTATATTTATTGATACCTTTCATGTTGACGATTACCATAAAATACGATTTTTCTTTTAATTAGAATATATATTCTTGCCATTGCATCAAGCAAATTCAACATATGGTGTTCAAAAATAATATTTACGTGTTCTGCAATTTTAAATATGGAATCTGACATTCGTCGAATTGATGGATTCCGTAAATCTAGTGATAATTGAATTAGTGTGTTCTGAAAATGGTTAATTCTGAGACTCGTATGAAGATTTTTACTATTTTAAAAATAGTGGACGATATTTTGATTTTTACTACTATATTCATGATTAAATTATTCTATTTAGAGAATGACAAAATCAGAGACAAGTTCGAAGATTTTTACTATTTCAAAATCATTAGACGATATTTCGATTTTTACTACTATATTAACGATTAAATTATTCTATTTAGAAAATGACAAAGTCAGTGACATGTTCGAAGATTTTCAATATTTTAAAAATAGTGGATGATATTTTGATTTTTACTACTATATTAACGATTAAATTATTCTATTTAGAGAATGACAAAATCAGAGACAAGTTCGAAGATTTTTACTATTTCAAAATCATTAGACGATATTTCGATTTTTACTACTATATTAACGATTAAATTATTCTATTTAGAAAATGACAAAATCAGAGACAAGTTCGAAGATTTTTACTATTTTAAAAATAGTGGACGATATTTCGATTTTTACTACTATATTAACGATTAAATTATTCTATTTAGAAAATGACAAAGTCAGAGACATGTTCGAAGATTTTCAATATTTTAAAAATACTAGTCGATATTTTGATTTTTACTACTATATTAACGATTAAATTATTCTATTTAGAGAATGACAAAGTCAGAGACATGTTCGAAGATTTTCAATATTTTAAAAATAGTGGACGATATTTCGATTTTTACTACTATATTAACGATTAAATTATTCTATTTAGAAAATGACAAAGTCAGAGACATGTTCGAAGATTTTCAATATTTTAAAAATACTAGACGATATTTCGATTTTTACTACTATATTAACGATTAAATTATTTTATTCAGAAAATGACAAAGTCAGAGACATGTTCGAAGATTTTTACTATTTTAAAAATAGTGGACGATATTTCGATTTTTACTACTATATTAACGATTAAATTATTCTATTTAGAAAATGACAAAGTCAGAGACAAGTTCGAAGATTTTTACTATTTTAAAAATAGTGGACGATATTTCGATTTTTACTACTATATTAACGATTAAATTATTCTATTTAGAAAATGACAAAGTCAGAGACATGTTCGAAGATTTTCAATATTTTAAAAATACTAGACGATATTTCGATTTTTACTACTATATTAACGATTAAATTATTTTATTCAGAAAATGACAAAGTCAGAGACATGTTCGAAGATTTTTACTATTTTAAAAATAGTGGACGATATTTCGATTTTTACTACTATATTAACGATTAAATTATTCTATTTAGAAAATGACAAAGTCAGAGACAAGTTCGAAGATTTTTACTATTTTAAAAATAGTGGACGATATTTCGATTTTTACTACTATATTAACGATTAAATTATTCTATTTAGAAAATGACAAAGTCAGAGACATGTTCGAAGATTTTCAATATTTTAAAAATACTAGACGATATTTCGATTTTTACTACTATATTAACGATTAAATTATTTTATTCAGAAAATGACAAAGTCAGAGACATGTTCGAAGATTTTTACTATTTTAAAAATAGTGGACGATATTTCGATTTTTACTACTATATTAACGATTAAATTATTCTATTTAGAAAATGACAAAATCAGAGACATGTTCGAAAATTTTTACTATTTTAAAAATAGTGGATGATATTTTGATTTTTACTACTATATTAACGATTAAATTATTCTATTTAGAAAATGACAAAGTCAGAGACATGTTCGAAGATTTTCAATATTTTAAAAATACTAGACGATATTTCGATTTTTACTACTATATTAACGATTAAATTATTTTATTCAGAAAATGACAAAGTCAGAGACATGTTCGAAGATTTTTACTATTTTAAAAATAGTGGACGATATTTCGATTTTTACTACTATATTAACGATTAAATTATTCTATTTAGAAAATGACAAAGTCAGAGACAAGTTCGAAGATTTTTACTATTTTAAAAATAGTGGACGATATTTCGATTTTTACTACTATATTAACGATTAAATTATTCTATTTAGAAAATGACAAAGTCAGAGACATGTTCGAAGATTTTCAATATTTTAAAAATACTAGACGATATTTCGATTTTTACTACTATATTAACGATTAAATTATTCTATTCAGAAAATGACAAAGTCAGAGACATGTTCGAAGATTTTTACTATTTTAAAAATAGTGGACGATATTTCGATTTTTACTACTATATTAACGATTAAATTATTCTATTTAGAAAATGACAAAATCAGAGACATGTTCGAAAATTTTTACTATTTTAAAAATAGTGGATGATATTTTGATTTTTACTACTATATTAACGATTAAATTATTCTATTTAGAAAATGACAAAGTCAGAGACATGTTCGAAGATTTTTACTATTTCAAAAATACTAGACGATATTTTGATATCTACTATTATACAATACTTACAACTGAGCCTGCTTCATTTACTATAAATCGAAGACGTCGTATCTCAAAATATATACAGTACTCGTGTGCAATTGAAAAACTGTTGCACGGAATTTTTTAAAACAGTTTCATCACATATTTGAATGTACTGAAGTAGTATGGTTTAATTGTTTTATGAATACTTCATAATAACTGATTAATACTATCCGTATCATCAATTAAGTATTAATGATCCTCTGTAGGTAAACAGAAGATGTATAAATAGCTATGTTGACATTTCTGCCATGGCTATTGTATACAAACGTTGAATCAGTAGACTGAAATTCGAATTCTCATATAAACATTAATTTTATGAAAAGCAATGCAATAAACATATGACATATATTTCTATAAAAAATATATTTTTGTTGACCCTCTAGCGACGAAACAAACTTCTATTTAGGTTTCACTCTTTCAACTATTTCTTAAAAGCACATGCATTTGCATAAAAATCCGCAATTTAGTGATAAAAAACGCTGCCCTCGTTGGCCAGTAAAAAGTATCCCGTTTCATTTACTATAAACCAAAGACATCTCAAACTAAATACACTGCTCGAGTACGATTCCAAAACCGTTCCACGCAGTTCTTTAAAGCAGCCATCCCCCGACCAGGGTCATCGCCATCCATCAACTTGGAAACCCCCGTTGCGTGAAGATTTTCAATGGCACGGAGGTTCCGTCATCCCCGGAATGATCCGCAGGTGTGGACACGGGGAACGAATAAAACGGTTGATCCTCTTCTTCAACCTCATTGTTTCATTCCACCCCCTTTTCTCCGTCTCTCGTCTCTCGTCCCGTTTCTCGCTCCCCTCCCCCGGTCTCTTTCTCTCATCGAAAGTGGACACATGCTTGGCTCTAGTCACCGTCCCTACGAATTCCAGGGATCAATGCGTCGGTGCACCAAAACGCCTGCGCCACCCCACCACACCCACACCGTTTAGCCGAGCAGCAGCAGCAGCAGCACTATCAGCCAGCAGCAGCAACATCAGCATCAGCGACGGTGATGGTGGCGGTGTATACAACCTCCACCAACACACCCGAGACACCGGGCGTTCGCGCGAACCTGAAAGTACGTAAACCCCCGGCACGCTGGTGTCAGAGTGCTGGTGGTCGTTCCTGGTCGTGCACCGAGAACCCGGTTCCCTCCGTCGGGGGGCAAAACCCACCGTCTTTCGTCCCCCCCCCCCACACACCGTTCTCTCCCCCACTCTGGCCGGATACCCTTTTCTACCGTCGCGGCGGCGTCGGCGTCGGAGAGGGTGTGCTCCCCTCTCTCGTACGTGCGCGGCGCCCGAGCCTCGGAAATTCTGAAAGCGGTTCGCGCCTGTGCAGCACGCAGGGGTGGCGAGGGACCGAAAATCGAGGCGAAAGGAAACGTCCGCGGATCCGGCCTAAGGGTCTCTCCTAGGGCTGGTGCGTAATCGGTTCCAGCGAATTTTTCACCTTCGAACACGCCATCCACCCCACGCATCGTGTCGTCCGACCGCGTCTCTCGCGCCCCCCTGAACCTCGTCGTGGCCGTGCACGCGTAAACACGCACGCGAGTCTGATCTCGCGTACTGGTGGGATCCTGGTGTGCACAGTGAACGTACGTGTATCTCGCGAATCGTGCAACGTGCAGCTTCGGTTCAACGGGGATACCTCGACGACACCACGGACTCATTCGATCGCGGCGGTGGCGGCGGCGGTGGTGGTTTCTTCCTCGCGTGACACACTTTTGTCGCGAGAGAAGAGAAACTAAACTCTCTCTCTCTCCCCCCCTTCTGTCTCTCTTCCTCTCTTGGCAGGCTCGAGAGAGGACGTCCTGGCGGACTGGTACAAAGGCGAATATATCCTGGAGTGCGTAGCCGCAAGTGAGAGTTTACCGTGTGATCGTGTGAGAGTGCAGACGTGATCATACGTGGATCTCCCTCTCAGTGAGTTTATCAGTGATCCGCTCTAGCCAGGATATTTCCAAGACCAGGTGGATCACGGGATCATGCATCCCCGATCGCAGCCCTCCTTCGAGGGTTGAATCGCGACGATTTCGCACAGGATACCAGTGATACGTTCTCCGCGGAGTGTAACTGTGTGAGTTCGAGCAAGGAAGCCGTCTGTCCGGAGGCACCGATTTCGCCACGAGAATTGGTCCCGTCGAGGACTAACCGTGTACCACATCCCCCGCGCTCAAAGTGAGTCTTACGCTTTGATGCCTCATTTTACCTCGCCCAGTTGCTACCTCGATCGCTCTACGCTGCAACGAATCGGTTTTAAGCTTCTTTCGCAGCCTGGTCAAAGCTGCTTTTAACCGACAAAACCGCTGGATCGTGGATCATCGTCCGTGATACGGGATTTATCAACGTTTCCGCCGCGACAGTCGACGCAGCAACTTACGCGCCTTCCGAAAATGGGCAAATAACGCGTTGCAATTTCTCCGGGAGGTTTAGAAAAGTCGGATATTTTTTGAGATTATGTTAAGACGAAGGCAAGGAAATCGAGTTAGGCGATGTTAATGGGATTTTCGAGTGAGATGGGGGGAATCAAATTTATCCATTTCGCGACTGAAATTGTTGAGCTTGGGTGAAAGCTGCGTTGACTCTGCGACGAATTCGATCAACAAAGCGAAACCTTATCTCGACTGTTAACGGATGTTAATGCGTTTGTCTACACGCCTCGTAGTATTACTAAGGCTTTCGCGATTCCGCCGCTTCTTTCCACACAATTATCCGTAAACATTTCAATGGGGAAAATCTGCGCCATTATTAAGGTGAATCGTTAGAATATCGTATTATGTATGGAATAACGTTTTAGAGAAAACAGAGATAGTTTTTAGATCGATGATTATTATTTAGCTTCTTTTGGTTAAAATTGAATTTTCTGCGCATTACGGGTTTGTTCCCTGCGTCGTTCGCTGTCAATTGCAAAACGGTGAAAGAAAAGTAGGTTTTGAAATCAGTGATTACGCGCGGATTTTTTTTTTTTTGGTAACGAATGGTTACTGTGCTGAAGAAGGAATTGTAAATATATAGGGAGATTCTAGGGGCCAAAATAAGACGAAATTGAAGGATAGTAATTTGTTGATCGAGGCTTCGTTGGAAAGTTGTAGAAACATTTCTGGCCAGAAATTATGTTTTTGGTAAAGAATTTTTTTTCTCGAATGTGCGTTGGATTTCGGGGTGTATTAACCAGAAATGATTGTAATTGACCCCTGCAACCGGAAAATAATTTTTTTCAGAACGATTTGAAATTTTTGAATTTTGAAGAAAAATTTGTTCACGTTTCTGAATTTTTTTTCTCGAAAGTGCGTAGGATTTCGGGGGTATGTTTATTCACAGAAAATTATTGTAATTGACCCCTGCAATTGAAAATAATTTTTTTGGAACGATTTGGAATTTTGTTTTTTTCGCTGAAAACAGCAACTAGTCGATTGTTCTTAAAAATTCGTATTTCATTTTTAATAAACTTGAGTGACATCCTACGGAAATCTTGTTTAGTACACTTTTGTAGGTATGCATGAGCTCTGTTTCAGAAATAAATTTCAATGAAATATATTCACTATTTTAGGAGTTATGGAGGTTTGAAAAATGGACCATTTTTATGGGGTTTTTCTTACTTTACGGGACCAAGGACCAAGTTTTCAAATATTTTTAGAATCTCCATGTATTCTCCATCTAAATACGTGTAACTTGCCGTTTGAAACATTAAAATCGTCCAATACGTTCAGAAGTTATGGTATTTTAAACATATTTCAGAGAAACATTTATGGTCAGGCATTATATTTTCGGTAAGGAATTTTTTTCTCGAAAATTCGTAGGATTTCGATGGTATATCTATTTACCAAAAACGATTGTATTTGATCCTTGCAACTGAAAATAATTTTTTCAGAATGATTTGAAATATTTTAATTTCGGTGAAAAATTTCATAGCTTGTCGAATTTTGTTTAGAAAGTGGGTGGGATTTCGGGTGTATATTTATTCACCAAAAATGATTGTAATTGACCCCCGCAACCGAAAATAATTTTCCCAGAAAGGTTTGAAATTTTTAAATTTTGTTGAAAAATTTAGGCACCCCTGTCGATTTTTCTTAAAAAGTAGTTTTCGATTTTTAATAATTTTATTTGGCGACCTACAGAAACGTTGTGTAATACTTTTTTGTAGGTACCCAAGAGCTCAACCTCAGAAAAAAGTTTCATTGAAATATATTCCCTATTGTAGGAGCTATGGCTGTTTGAAAATTCGACGATTTTTATGGAGTTTTTCTCATTTTACGTGGTCAAGGAATAAATTTTCGAATATTTTTGGAATTTCTACATATTCTTCACCAAAATATGTGTTATTAGCATTTTGAATCATTAAAATCGTCCAATCCGTTCAGGAGTTATGATATTTTAATCAAATGCATCAAGTTTCAGGGTTACATTTCTAACCTTACATTATAATTTCAGTAAAGAATTTTTTTTTCGAATGTGCGTAGGATTTCGGAGCATGTGTATTAACCAAAAATGACTGTAATTGACCTCCACTATCAAAAATAATTTTTTTAGGACGATTTAAAATTTTTCAATTTTGTCGAAAAATTTGTTTACCTTTCTGAATTTTTTTTCTCGAAAGTGGGTAGGATTTCTAGGATATGTGTATTGACCAAAAATTATTGTAATTGATCCCTGTAACCAAAAATAATTTTTTTAGAATGATTTGAAATTTTGTTTTTTCAATGAAAACATCTCTTGTTGATTTTTCTTAAAAATTTGTATTTCATTTTTAACAAACTTGTTTGACGTCCTACGAAAATCTTGTTTAGTACTTTTCTGTAGGTATCTATGAACTCTATTTCACAAAAAAATTTCATTGTAGTGCACTCACTATTGTAGAAGTTATGATCGTTTGAAAATTGGACCAATTGTATGGTGTTTTTCGCATTTTATTTGGTTAAGAAACAACTGTTTGAATATTTTTCGAATTTTTACATATACTTCACTAAAATACGTGTCGTTTGCCTTTCGAAACATTAAAATCCTTCAATCCGTTCAAAAGTTATGATATTTTAAACATTTGCATGAAATTTCCGAGGAATATTTCTGGCCATACATTATATTCTCGATTAGGAATTTTTTTCTCGAAAGTGCGTAGGAATTCGGGGATATGTCTATTCACCAAATATAATTGTAATTCACTCCCGCAGCCGAAAATAATATATCCGTGAATTATTTGAAATTTTTTAATTTAATTTTTTAATAACTTTTTAACGAAGCCTCAATCAACAAATTGATATTCTTGATTTTCGTCTTATTTTGGCCTCTAGAATCCCCCATTAAAATTTTTCCCAGTGGTGGCCGTGCACCCTGTATATACAAAGGGGTACAATAAACCTAAACCTACAATAAATCTTCTAACTAGGACTACAATTTAAACTAATGGCTCAACATAGAGCTCGCGTAATCTTAACGTTAAATAATGTTCATCACACTTAATGCTACTTACAAGATAGTTCTAAGAATAGTTACTCGTACCGGGAACAAGATTTAAATATTCTGTATAGAAAAATGGCACCAAAAAAAAACTACATAAATCGATTACGCGCGAATGTGTCGACCGCGAACAGCTCCAGGCGAAAAACTCGTTAACACGATTTCCAAAATGTAATTAATATCTAATCTCGTGAAGGGGTAAAACCCCACTATAAAAACCTGAAATAAAGCGTTTTTGTGCGATTTTTTGTTGAATAAATAGAAAAGTAAGAGGATAATAATATTCAAGAATGTCTCCAGCGTTGTAATTTTACAGTATTCTTCAACAAATATTTTTTTTTTTAACACTTCGCTCCATGGTAAATAACATTCTTGAATATTACTATCCTCTCACTTTTCCAACCATCCAAAAAAAAAATTCTTCATTTCAGATTTTTATAGTAATCTTGCCACTTAAAAATAGCGATAAATATTTTTATAATTGTTTAAAATTAAACACCGACGGTCGAATCGACTTCTCCGCCGCGACGAGTTCGATTCGATGCACAAAGAGAAAACGTACGAGTTAACTACATATCATTTTCTAAATGCAAATCCCGCGAATCGTCGAGTATGCATTCGCGATTCAGCTTGCTAGACACAGCGCGTTCATCGAATTTGTCGCCACGTTGACTTTCGTCGCCGAGGTTATTCAACAATTCGTTATTTATGCAAACTCCGTTGGATATTCAGGAGATCGGACAAAAAGAATTCCGGCTAAATACAATGGCACGCATTGGGAAGATTTATGTATCGTTCCAGGGGATTCGTGCCCCAGGAAGCGTACCCGTCTATTCGCCCATTTAATTTAATCCCCCGCCATTTGTTACACGGAAATTGAATTTCCCTATTTTTGGGTCAACTATTTATGACCTGTAGTTATCTATCTGTCACTTTAAACGAAACAGTAACGAATGTTCGGTCTGAGAAAATATCTATTGGATAATATGATCGATATTGCAAGGGTTAGTATAAAATTTAGGAGGAAGCTGAACTCGTCACAACATAGGAAGAACAATAAAACAAGGATTAACTAAACCATACACAACAGCCAAAGACCAAGCAGTCGGTGCTGTTCCAAAATTAATAAAAGCTGAACTCGTAATTTGAGGAAATGGAAGCTAGATTTGTATGATTTTCTTTTATTCTAGTCTATTACTAGTATTTTTTCTATTATTTCCGTCTAATATAGCTAAACATATACTAGCAATTTTTGTATTATTTTCCGCTAATCTAACATAACAAATACTAGCAATTTTTGTATTATTTTCCTCTAATCTAACTCAACAAACACTAGTAATTTTTGTATTATTTCCCTCTAATCTAACATAATAAATACTAGCAACTTTTGTATTATTTTCCTCTAATCTATCCTAATACTAGCAATTTTTTGTATTATTTTCGTCTATTCTAGTCTAACACCAGCAATTTTTGTACTATTTTCCTCTAATCTAACTCAACAAACACTAGTAATTTTTGTATTATTTCCCTCTAATCTAACATAATAAATACTAGCAATTTTTGTATTATTTTCCTCTAATCTATCCTAATACTAGCAATTTTTTGTATTATTTCCTTCTATTCTAGTCTAATACTAGCAATTTTTGTATTATTTCCCTCTAATCTAACATAACAAACACTAGCAATTTCTGTATTATTTTCCTCTAATCTAACCTAACAAACAC